ATATATATATATATTTATATTTATATACTGTATGTATATGTACATGCATATACACCATATTTGTAGCTATTCAAACTGTGTGCCGAATTGGTTTTTTCGACTTACAAACGCAATTAAACTACTGGAATATCACGAATTAAATTAAAATGACAAGCAAATTTTGATGTTCAATCCGGTATCATATTAGAAGGATGTTAATGTGCTGAAAACTTTAAATAAATCTATTACGAAAAATATTACCTCGGCCGAGACTTGAATCCGGATGTATTCCGTACGAACGTCCTAAGCCATTAGATCACCGAGGCCTTAGTAATATTCTTCGCCATAATTGGTATATATAGGAACAATAACGCTTCTTTCAGGTAGCACATATAAACAATAATAAATAATTTTATTAAGACCGTAATGTAATAAATACTAATTGTAAGTAAGAATATTTGAATAGCTACAAATATGGTATATATGCATGTACATATATAGTATATATATAATTCACATTAAATTATTTAAAGCATTAAAGATCTAGCTTCGACCGTTATAGGTTTGAATATTTTTATTTACAATTAGTATTTATTACATTACGTCTTAATAAAATCATTTATTATTGTTTAGTAATTAATATCTTGTTAACTATTGCGAAAATTGCAAAATGGTAGAGGACTTTTCGACTTAGTTTAGTCCACTCTATCTGCCCTCCAGCGTTGTTAGGTGAATTATGGGATACACTGTATATACATACTTGTTAAGTATAATTAATTTGCACAGGTCCCGAATTTAATTTCAAAGTGAACATTGAAAATTTGCAACGCTCATTTCTAGAAAGTCAATTCAACATACCCTAAATGCTTCCTCAAAGTAATTATTTTCTTCCAAAAACAGTCCATAATTGATGATAATTTGAGGAGTTGCGATTTTCAAATCGATTATTTTGTCATATACTGTTTTACAAGTCTATAACAATCATAAAATTAAAAATACTGATTTTATAATATAAATTTAGTTCCTACAAAAGCGATACATTAAAAAAATTTTAGAAGAATTTATTAAATCTCAAATGACCATAACTTGATGAATAATAAAGATAAAAATATATTAAAAAATGTAAAACAAAGCTTCAAATGTCCACTTTAAGAGTATTTGAATGGCAATTATGACACTTGATTCACGCCATGCATTATTGCAAATTCGGACCTTTAATTATCAATTTTGCATCTTCTCATTTTCTCATCTGCTTCTCAATTTGAAAAAAATAACCGAGCATAATTGCCATTCAGATATTCTTAAAGTTGATATTTAACGCTTTATTTTACATTTTTTAATATATATTTTTACCCTCATTATATACCAAGTTATGATCATATAAAATTTGACGAATTTTTCCTAAATTTTTAGTATACTACTTTTTTTAGGGCTGAGTGTGAACAAAAAAAGTGACATACAAACTAAATAATGTAAATGAATAACATACCTTAAATGTACCGAAACTTTCTTCCAAATCTGCATACATGGACCATACTTTTAAAGATTTGTATAATCTCACTTGTACCGTTTCTGTTTCATCATGATATGCTACTTTTCTAGCTGGCATTGTAGTGGCACGATGCATGAGTTTTAAAGCTTCTTTGCAGTTCCTGTACAATAACAATACATATACAGGGTGTCAGAATAATTGCTATGCAACATTTTGTAGGTAAAGAGGATTAAACTAAGAATGGAAAAATCCTTCGCTGTGTGTTTTGCGAAATTTTCAATTATAAAAAATAAATTAAAGATCCACGAATTAGTATGTATCTATGTTATTCAGTGAGAAGAGAGCCTAGCGTCACCTGATGATATATGCGACGAGATATCGAAAGGAGGAGCGCAAAAAAATAACAAATAATATTGAGATGTTTTTATTACTAAATCACATGAATGCACGTTCATTCACAGATGGTCTTTATAAGACATCTTGTACACATGCACGCACGCACGCACGTCGAGGATATTATTTTCTAAAATCCGATAAGAAAAACATACTTGAGTTTAAATAAAATATTTAAACTAAAGTATATTTCTTATCGAATTAAAAAAATAACTTTTTATAGTATTTGATTATTTGTATACATATAAAAAAACAAATGTGATGTGTGTGTGTGATAAGAAATAGAGAAGAATAAAGCAATCTTACCCATGTCTAATTTCCATTTCCGCCCATTCACACCATACTGAAGCAAGATCGTCTACTTTGGTATATGGTACAAGAGTTGCTTTTTCAAATACTACTCTAGCATCTTCTATTTGTCCATTTTCCTCATAAAATTTGCCAAACGCAACCCACAATGTGTATAGTTTACCAACTGCTAACTGTGGTTGCACTGTCTGAACTGCTTCTGTATATGTATTAATTATCTACAGAAAAACACATCGATTAATGTTAGAATTCATTTTACAACAGATATTCGTTCATTTATGAAATTTCTGTATCCTTTTACCTCATGTGGTTGCCCTTCATAAAGTTTTACTCTTTTATGCCATTCTGCTACATTGTGTGGATTTTGTCGTAACAACACAGAATTGAGTAACAATAGTCTCCTTTCCATGAGATGTTCCAATCGCGCCAGTCTCAATTCTAACTTTATGTCATCTAATGCAAGAAGAGATCTAATTAGAATAATTAAAACAATAATATAATACTATTTGTTAGTTTAAGTTAACATATATTACCTTCTTCAGTAGGATTTCTTGCTGCTTCTTCTATGAGTTTCTTAAGACTAAGTTCTTCAAATTGTGCATAAGCGTCGAAAACTTGTGTAAAATCTCTGACAGTAGTAACTGTCTGTATAGCTTCTTCATAAATATCCCTCGCCTAAATAAGATCATTTATATACATATAATAGGACATAACAGACCAACTATATCAGGTTAATTTTTCGAAAAATGAGCATTTTCTTAAAAAAAATATTCCCGATATATTTTTATAAATAAAAGTTACAAGGCTTTAGGGGGATCCTATAGACGATTAGTCGTAGTATAAGTAGGACTTACACACAAATGATTTACGTGTCATTGACACATCACTATATACTACTATATCCCATACATACACATAAATTTTCGTATAACGTTTTAATTAGACGTCTAAGTTCAATTCTACGAATTCCACGTTTTTTTGTGCAAACTACCTAATAAAAAAATTTTTCATGCATAAATATACGTCATATATGGAACATTCTACGTGAAGTAGTGGAACACCAATTTTCCAGATTTTGACGAAACTTACTGAGATTGATGGAATACCCCATATAAATATGTATAAACATACATAAATGTGTAAATATTTATAAACATACATATAGTACATTATTATTATATATACGAAATATTATGTCCATACATGTTCGTACATCCTTCTTTTATTTATAAAATTACTTTTTAGTGTACTAAAATAATAATAATAATGAGAAAATATCAAAAATAACTAAGAGCAATTTTTTTATATTTTTCCAAACTTGATTTTTTCTGCAACAAAAAAAAATGCGAAAATTATCCTTTTAACTATTTTTAATCTTTTCTCATTATTTTTCTTTAATACACTAAAAAATAATTTTACAAAAGAAAGAAGGAGTATGAATATGTACGAACATTGAATATATTTTATATACATAATTATATACATATGTTTATGAATATTTATGCATGTTTATGTACGTTCATACATATTTATATATATATTCATATATGAAAAATTTTGTACCGGGTACTAATCTGTGCATTACTATTTCGTAAGTACAGATTGCACAACTTTTATATGAAACAAATTTTGTCATGACATGACAACTCTAGAACATATTGGGCTAAGGAAATTGGTAAAGAAAATAAGATCTTTATTTCGAAATTTTTTGTCGTTCTCGACATAAACTCCACCTCACAGACACATATTAATGCATATACTTTAATCCTGGAAAAGGATTTTCAAATCTGTAAAAAGAGAATAAAAGTAAGTTATACAAAAATTATCTATTTGGTTTCGTCGGTAAGACAGACGGTTTTAGAATCCCCTTAAGTGGCGCATAGATAACAATGTTAGTGTGACCTATGGTGGAATTAGAAAAGTGACTCATTACGCATCATGGCGAAGGTCTCATCACGTAATCTAGACCAATCAAAAATTAAGCTCATTTGCAGTGGACGAGTCATGTGAATTTCTACAAATGAGTTTAAAATTTGATTGAATGGCAAATCTCCACTACTTTCAATCAGCCGGAATAGACCATCTGTCTAATTCCACCATGGTACGACCTTGGATAATATTGTTAAGGTAACGTAAAAATTATTTCAGCCTTGACATTATGTCAAGGTCATGACACTGAACAACAATGCCTGCGTTCGACAGACCATAAGTTTTGCAATCGTTTTATGATTGTCTGCTGAGATAAGACCTTTCTTCTAGATCTAAACGTATAATCCAATCAGCGCAAAGAAAACTTTCAACAGTTGCAAATAAACATTCTACTGAACGCAGCGATTTAAGGGATGCTGGAGTAACGAAATTAGACGACATTACAGTTGTATAAAAATCTCCGAATTGACTGAACGAAATCAAAAACCCTTTTACAAAATTAAAGGTGCAAAACTGAGGTGATACAGTGGATTTTATAATAAAATCGAAAAAAAAAGATAAAAACTTACTTAACTCTTTTTCAATTTTAGTATAAAGTTTACTACACCATCTCCTAATTCTGCGTCTACTTTAATCTTGTAAATAATTTTTTATGCTACTCAGTTAATTCGAAAATTTTTATACGGCTGTAATGTCGATAAGTTGATCACTCCAGTATCGGACATATTGGTCATTACTAATGGTCGGCTAATGGTAACTTTCAAACATTATAACTTGGAAAGTACTTATTGAAGAATAATTTTATTATAGTACTTTGAAAAATTTTCAAGGTCAGCTACAAAAACATGAAATAAAAAATAGGAATTTTCATTGAAAAATTTTGAAGTAATTTTACGCACGCACGCGCGCGCGCGCACACACACACACATATAGATATATACACACATACCCTTTCAAAGAGGCCACTTCGTACGTAATAATCTGCTAATGAATTCCATAAAGGTCCCAATTGATCTGTATAACGTCTTAAACCGCCTCTAATAATAGCATCTACATTCAAAGACTTTATCTTTGAAGGATTTTTTGATATTAAATCGCATAATTCATTCCATAGTTGATGATTAGACTTTCCGTGCTTTGATACAAAATCGTCTTGGTTGACGATCTGTGCAAGTTTCACAGCAGCCTCATCAAGTCTTTCAATTGATATTAAATATTCAATATATTCTTCTGTATCTTCTGGTGCTAGCTATGTAAATGAAATATGTATGATAAAAAATAAAATATGCATAACACAGAAACAAATTCTTTTACCTTAGACCAAGCAATCTATTTTATATCAATTAAGAATGAACAATATAAAAAATAGTATGTATAAATATTATGTATGTTATTATTATATACCTTTAAGTATCTTCTAAAGACTCTAACAGCAGTCTCATATACATTATGTTTCTTTAAAAAATGAATATATAATGGCCATATACGATGATGCTGCGTAATAGGAAGCGCTCTAAGAGACCGATCAAATACTTGACGCGTTCGTGTTATATAACATTCTTCAGTCATTAGGGTACAATAATCCATCCATATACGTGGCATTTTATGCATAAATACTAAAGCTCGTTCAAATGCATTATTAACATCTTCGTACAATGGATCTATTATACATCGACCTTTTAGTTGACTCACACGTTGTCGAAGATAATTATACCATAGCTTGTAACTACATCAATATAACACATAATATTTTAGACCTGATACAATGTATATAGGTGGTTGTGAAAATATATAACAAAATTATTCTACCTGCCCGGAAGTTCTTTTAATGCTCGTTCGTATACCACATTTAAATTCTTACTGTTTGTACTTTTAAGATGATCAATATACCGTTGCCAATGTTTGACTGAATATGGATTTCGTAAAATTTCTTCTTCGTATGGTAAATCCTCCTCATTCTGCTTAAAATTATAATATTATATAGTATCGACATCTCATTAATCATATAAATATATATTATACAGAGCGTATCACAAAAGTCTAGAAATGGTCGAATATTTCGAAAGCAAAGCATTTTTGAGAAAAATGTTTCCAACAAAAGTTGTAGGGTTTAAAAAAATCTATTCAAAATAATCATATCCGTTCGACCTTGAATGAAAACTTTCTTTCAAGCATTATAATTAAAAAAGTACTTAATGAAAAGTAACTTTATTATAATGTTTTGAAAAGCTCTTGACGCCAGCTATTAAATTCTGGCATAAAAAATAGGGTGTTCCATTTAAAAAAATCGATTTAATCATGACCTGATCTTGGCGACGCTTGACGCCACTCAAGGTCAAACGAATGAGATCAGTGAATAGACCTTTTTAAATCCTACAACTTTTATTGAAAACATTTTTCTCAAAAATGCTTTGCTTTTGAGATATTCGACAATTTCCAGACTTTTGATACACCCTGTATATTAAATATGTACATATATATGTATATTAAGGTGGCTTCTATTTACTCTTGATAAACATTTTTTTTCGAATTTTTTTGCAGCAGTCACCAAAACGGTTCCAATTCAAGAAAAAAAAATCTGCGTGAAATTAACACAGTCTGATCGGATAAGAGAAAAATTTGCCCCTAAACTTTATGATAAAGCAAAAAAATCTATTTTCGTGAATACCTTTTAAGTTATTAAATGTATCAAAAAAAAGTTTCAAACAAAAGTTGTAGATATGAATAAGTATCTTTTATATTCTATTCATTTTCTTTTTCGTATGACGTTTTTTGTTTTATGTTGCCTAAGATAAAAGTTAACGAACTTTGGAAGAAACACATAGCAAGAAATACAATTATTAATGAAATGGTTGCAAAGAGAGGAAAAAGCAAGAGCCAAAACAAAAAGCAAGAAACAGGAAATAAAGAGCACATTATAGAATAGGCTTTAACAGAATAATATCTGAACTAGTAGATAATTATTTAGAATACGAGCCTCACATCCGATTTCGATGAAATTAGGCTTATTCGACGCGTTTTTGCATGAAACGAAAGAGTATGCAAGAAAAAAACGTTGAGTCATCGGCCCCGCGAACCGAGATATTAAGCATTAAAGTCGACAATTAGTAAAAATTTATCATATCGACGAAATGTAGCGACAAAATCAAACACAAACATAAAATCTCTACTTTAAGGACAAAAATTATTTTCAAATTATTTTCTTATATAACTTTTGTGTTTTTAAAGCAGAGATTTTGTGTTTGACTTCGTTCCTACATTTCGTCGATATGACAGATTCTTTAACCTAAATAGTCATCAATTTTGATTCTTAATATTTGAGTTCGAGGGACCGACCCAACGTTTTTTTCCAGTTTCTTTCGTCTCGTACAAAAACGCGGCGAATGAGTCCAATTTCATCAAAATCTGGGGAGGGGGGAGGAATAATGCCAGTATTTTAAATAATTACCAGTAAATGTATAAATCTATTAAATTTTGCGCTATGACTGTGATATATACAACGCTTCTATAAATTATACAAAGTACACTCACAAAGGCATATACATTTCCTTCATTATCTTTACGTTCCAACATATTCTTAAGAATATTTTATTGTTAACACAACAAAGCCACATACAATCAGCACCATCAACAGCAATCAGCAGGGCTGCGTCCGCTGCGTTCAGAATAGGGTTACACGATTCAGAGCGATCTTTTGAAGAATCGATCTATCTGACTTTAAAAAAATCGATTTTTCAAATCGATTTTCTTGTTTCGATTAAATTTGCAGATCGATTTTTTCATGGAAAAATCGAATTGATTATGCTGGATTCACACTGCATCCGATTTTCGTCGTACGACGATCTGCAACCAATCAGACAACAGGATTCCGATGATACGAAGCAAAATCCATCGGAATCCTGTTTTCTGATTGGTTGCAGAGCGTTGTACGACGAAAATCGGATGCAGTGTGAATCCAGCATTACCCCGGATCTACAATAGGTGTTTTAAGCCTTAAGCCGTAAGAAACTGACCAATTACAGTCAAATCCGAGAAGAATAAGCGACTGTGATTCGCCCATTTCTTAAGGCCCGTCTACAATACACG